TTTTAGTGGAGATATTTGCTACCTAACAAGAACTCGATATACTAAATTAAAGTCAATTCGGTCGAAAAATACGATCAGAACCCCCAAAATACCAAAAATTTGGGAGTACCGTTATATGGGGACTACCAGAAAAACTGGAACTATATTTACAATTTTTAGTGGAATAATTTGGTACACAATAAGAACCAAATGTACAAAATTTCAGAGAATTCAGTTATAAAACGAGCCCAAGAACCCCAAAATACCGAAAACTGGGGTACCTTTATATAAGGGCTACCCGAAAAAGTGGACCTATATTTATAATTTTTTGTGGGGACATTTAGTAACCAATAAGAACCCAATGTACAAAATTTCAGCGTATTCGGTTGAAAAAAGCGCCCAAGAACCCCAAAATAAAGAATATTGGGGGGTACTTCAATATGGGAGCTATGCCTAAACGTGGATCGATTTTCTCCAATAGGGTTCGTCCTTGGGCCAATTAAGTGACCTGTGCCAAATTTCACCCAGATCGGATCATAAATGCGACCTGTACTTTGTTAACAAAAATACATGGACGGACGGACATGCATAAATCGACTCAGAAAGTGATTCTATGCATATTCTCAAAAGGAACCATGGGTCTATCTCGATTATTTTTGCCTGTTACAAACATATGCACAAAGACATAATACCCTGTACCACAGTGTGGTGAAGGGTATAAAAATGTCCAATAACCCTGAACATACTGTAAATTGAAGGATGACCTTAATATAGGGGCACCACTGTAAAGGAGGATAAGTTTGGTAAATAAATTTTGGTAAACCCAAAATATCAAAGTTCAGCCGATTCGGTTAGAAAATGTTTTAACTATACTTAAAACACCAAATTTTTGGAGGTACCGTTACATGAGAGCTACCGTAAAAAGTAGACCAATATTTACCATTTTTGGTAGGGAGATTCTCCGTCCATTAAAAAAAAATAAGAAAATAAAACAAATTACAGGCAATTTGGTTAAAAGACTTGTCCATAATTCCAATATACTGAAATTTTTATTGTATCGTTTTTAGAGGCTACACTGAAAAGTGGGTCAAAATTGATAATTTTTGATACAGACATTTAATACCTAATGAGACGTAACTACAATAGTATGTTTTTATTATTACAAACAGACGTAACTACACACCTGTACAAAACTAAAGCAATATTGAATTTAGAAATTCTGAACTTATATTAATGTTACTTCTGGGAAGTTTGATATTGAAAATTACATTTGGTATTACATTACATTTTACGGTGGCCCTCATATAGCGGTACCCCAAAATTAGTTTTTTAGGTTTTACCTCAATTTTTTAAATTATTCAGTTATAATTAGGTATTTTTGTTTCCCACTGAGTGAAAAAGTACCCCGTGCAAAGTTCTATCGTTTATTTAATTTCGTCCGATTCGGACATTCCAATGGTCCCCCAATGATGCTATATTTGGTATACTGCAAAATATTGTACATATGCGTAGCTCTATGGGTACACACCATAGTGGTGAAGTGGTGCTTCTCAGACTATTTTTTCCGACTTCAAATTAATTTTCTTTGTTTGGAATTTTTATAGGTTAACTTTTGAGTTAATGATTTTCAATAATTGTTGGTTTGTAGCTTTCAACAGGATGCAAAATATTCGATAAATAGATTTATAATTTCTAGGCTAATTAACAAGGTTTTGGAGAAGATTTGGCAAATCCCCAACTCGTATTGGGGATTTGTAATCTCAAAATTACATAATATATAATTTGATTTAAAACCGCGTCCAAAATCCAAACATGTAAAAATGATTTTAACTACAAAATACCAATAAAAGCCAATTTGGTGTTCAAAATTTTAAAAATAACGACATGGGTGAATATTAATAAATTTTAGTGCGCAGATATGGTGATATAGTTATGAGAACCCAAAATACCTAATTATAGCATATACGGTGGAAAATTATGTGCACTGCATCCTACATGTACTAGTAATGTCTGTGCAAAATTTCAGAGCTCTATCTTAAATATCGAGATATCTATCATGACTTCAGCACACAGACAGACAAGCAGACGGATATGCCTAAATCGACATAGAATTTTATGCTAATCAAGAATATATTATGTTGGGGAAAAAGAAATCCATTATTTTTTCGGCAGAGGGCTGTACTGATAGATTTCTCGTATAGTACCGATCAAACAATTTCAGATTTATGTTCGTTGGAAGGGTGACATTTCGCAGTAAAAAAAAAAATATTTTGCATTTTTTGTTCAATTGTGAGTTACAGAGTGTTAAACATGGAAGTGAACAAAGAGAAAATTCTAGAATGATAGAATGACGTATATAATTTATTTAGAGCAACTCCCGTAATGGTTCTGTCATCTCCATTGTACACCCACTGATTGGGTTGCTATTTTATGAATACTTTGTTTGTTAATTAAGAGATATTATTGAAAATTTTATATTATTACATATGATGAATAAATTTACATTTTCAAGTAAACTGTTCTATGTCATCATAATTTCGGGAACACGCCACTCGAATACTTTTACTATAAATATTTTAAGGGAAAATCCTTGATATTACATTTTGACACAGCTTCTTTCTGGCATTAGAACAAATAAGTGTATAACAATGAAACTTTTAGGTACTATTGTGTTTTTAGCCATCTGTTGTGAAATTCAATCGGCAGCAACTCGTTTTTGTGGCCAAAATTTGGTTCAGGTTCTGGATGCAGTGTGTGTGGATGGTTTCTATGGAATGCAGATTAGTAAAAAATCCACCAATAAACCAAGTGAGTGTATTGAAAAAATAAACATTATTTTAATTAAACACATTTTCGTCCTTATTATTCACTGCAGTGTTGCATGGTCTGACAGATATAATTGGATTGAATGAAATTGACGCTGAACCACATTTTGATCACGACTTCCAGCTTAATCAAATGCTGCATAGTGAAGGAGGGAATGGATTAGCAAAAACTCGCCGACAGCGTCATTTGAATGGTGTTTATGATGAATGTTGCCGCAAAGGTTGTACATTACAAGAACTAGCCGGATATTGTCTGTAAATAAATATTGTTTCCATAGATATCTTTGTTGCGATTTTCAAATAAAGAAATGTATCTGTCAGAATGTAATAAAATTTTGAATTTTTGCTTATACGATATACGAATTTTTGCTTATATCCATTTTCTAAAGCCATGGTTAAACTATTAGGTTGGGGAAAAATCCATTATATTTATATGAATGATAGAAATTTATTAAACATGCTTCGTAATGCCTGATCTGGGCCAAATATGCACCGTTTTGTTGTATGTTTTGTTGCCATTTTAAAGGTAACTTCATAATGCCTTTCTCATAGAAGTTCTGCTCTCTATTTGCAAAAAACTCTAGTAATCGATTTTCACAATCCTCACTATATACAACTTTTTGAACATAAAAGAAATTTTGCAATGCAAGAAAAATATGATAATCGGTTGGTGCCAATTCACGAAAAATCTGGCGAATTACTATAGATGTGTGTGACCTAACGTTTGCCTGGTGGAACACGACACCTCTCCTTGTAATTGGCTTAAACCAGTTTTTTGGTCAATTTTTAGCTTCTGGGCGATGTTATGACTGCTAACATGTCGGCCAACTTCGATTATTTATCCGACATTTTTATCGGCCTTTTCGACAGGGCGAGATGCATCTTCAACATAAAAATTTTCTGAAACCGAAATTGCACATATTTCACAATTTTAACCGCTTGGCTTGCATTTTCGCCTTTGTCTATAAAAAACTGTAAAATTTTTCGAATTTTCTCTTTGTTCACTTCCACTTTTAACAGCCTGCAACTCACACCTGAATGCACCAAACAAAAAGCAGCAAAATATTTTTTTACTGCGAAATGTCATCCTTCCAACGAGCATAAATCTGAAATTATGTGATCGCTCCTTTACGAGAAATCTATGAGTATAGCCATCTACCGAATAAATAATGGATTTCTTTTTCCCCAACCTATTATTAAGTTGTGTAGAGTTTTGTTCAAATCAGATGTGATATAATAAAATATTTTTTTGCAAAATTTTTTATGGGGGTAGAAGTGGCATGATATTCAACATCGTCGAACTTCTAAGTTTTGAATAAATATTTGGATGTGCAAAGTTTGAATGAACTCGGCCACTCTTTTCGACAGTTATCGTGCGCACCAGCCGACCTATTGCTTTTTGGTAATGATCTGTTAATAGTTAGCGGTTGAAATGGACCAAAAACTTAATATTTGTATGTTTTTCTGGCCACAATTATGACCTGAACATCATGAAATCTTACACGAAGAAAAGGACTTGACCATGGAATAAGTATGGCTGTTTTCATGATAATCGGTCTGAAGACTTTGAAGACTGTGAATAATTCCAAAATTTGCATTCTCTGGCATAATTATTTACTCCGAAGGGGCATAGACTGGATAAGACGACAGTATATCAAATACAATTGATAACCATTACATTATATTCGTAAATATGTATGAAGCACGATTGGAGCTTTACCTGACCAATAACGCATATATTGCTTTTGACGGACCCAGAGTCTATTTTTCTATTATTATTTTTCAAGGAAATCCGCCTCAGAAGTTGGGTAGTAGTTTTTTGTTGTTCGTTTGGGTTCCATAGCTTGATGCCGCATTTTTTTTATTATTGACACTTGTAGGTCTGGAAAGACGTGTGCCTAATTTGATTAGAGCAAATCTTGTAAATTTTCAGTGTTCTTCATTGTACACCCACAGATTCAGTTGCTATTTTAAGAATATTTGTTTATACGTGTTAATTACGATATACTGCTGTATATGTATGTAATTATTACATACGACGAATAAATTTACATTTTAAAGTAAATTGTTGTATGTCGTCATAACTTAGAGAACACACACCTCGACCACTATTACTATAAATATTCTATAGGAAATTCGTTGATGTCACATTTCGAAACAGCTTCTTCCTGGCATTAGACAACGAAATCTATTACAATGAAACTTTTAGCTGCTCTCGTGTTTTTGGCTATTTGTTATGAAATTCAATCGGCAGCAACTCGATTCTGTGGTCAAAATTTGGTTCAGGTTCTGGACGCTGTGTGTGTGGATGGTTTCTATGGAATGCAGATTAGTAAAAAATCTACCAATAAACCAAGTGAGTGTATTGAATGAAATTATAAACGTTATTTAAACTAAAAACATTTTCTTCCTCAGTGTTGCATGGTCTGACAGATATAATTGGATTTAATGAAATCGACGGTGAACCACATTATGATCCCGACTCCCAACTCAGTCGTATGTTGCACAGTGAATCAATGAATGGATTGGCAAAAACTCGCCGACAACGTCATTTAAATGGTGTTTATGACGAATGCTGCCGTAAGGGTTGTACATTGCAAGAACTCGCCGGATATTGTCTCTAAAGATACAAGCATTAAGAAAAGTTTATCATCCAGATCATTATTACGAATTGACATTAAGAATAGAAATAAATGCATAAAACAAAATATCTATAATAAAAACGATTTCTTGTATCTATATTCTATTAGTAGGCAATTGGTAATAATCGGTTTTTAAATTTCTTGTATTAATATTCTAAGAGTGGGCAATTGGTAATAATTAAGAATAAAAATCTTTGATTGTGGTTTATATTTTTTCCAGAAATACCCATATTCTTCTATATATATAACCAGTAAGGAAAGTAGTAAAGTCGGACGGGGCCGACTATATAATACCCTTCACCACTATGGGTATATTGAACAGGACTATTAACATGAAATTGGATGAAATAAAATATGTGATATTTATCTAAATGTGAATCTACCTAGATCTATCCATAAAGTATGTAAATCGACTTCAAACAAATACTGGGCAATGTCTGTACTTCTAGAAAACGCAACTACGTAATTCTATGCTCAATTTTGTAAGTTGTGCAAAATTTGATGTCAATCTGACTACATGAGGAGTTTGATGCCCAATATACTTAACATCGGGCGAAAATATATATGGAAGCTCTACCCAAATATTAAGCGATTTAAAACAAACATGTCACAGGTTAGGTTATAGTAATTTCAGAACGTTTTGTTCCTATCAGCCTATTGGTTCCTTTTTGCGTCACTTAAAATCCTTGGTGCATTACTTAAAATCAATATATAATAAAGGGAGCTATACCTAAATCTGGACCGATTTTCACGAAAAAAAACAGACATCACTCTAGGCTCAATTCAGTACGTTAAGCCAAATTTCGTGCAAATCGAAAGATATATAGCGACTTTGGTGCACCATTTACATGAAATCGGACGAAACTATATATGGGAGCTATATAGAAATCTGGACCGATTTTCTCGAAACTTGGCAGACATCTCTCTAGGCTCATTTCAGTACGTTATGCCAAATTTCGTGCAAATCGAAGGATATATAGGGACTTTGGTGCACCATTTATATATGAAATCGGACGAAACTATATATGGGAGCTATATCTAAATCTGGACCGATTTTCTCGAAACTTGGCAGACATCACTCTAGGCTTAATTCAGTACGTTATGCCAAATTTCGTGCAAATCGAGAGATATATAGCGACTTTGGTGCACCATTTACATGAAATCGGACGAAACTATATATGGGAGCTATATCTAAATGTGGACCGATATTCTCGAAACTTGGCAGACATCATTCTAGGCTCAATTCAGTACGTTGTGCCAAATTTCGTGTAAATCGAAAGATATATAGGGACTTTGGGCACCATTTACATGAAATCGGACGAAACTATATATGGGAGCTATATCTAAATCTGGACCGATTTTCTCGAAACTTAGCAGACGTCACTCTAGGCTTAATTCAGTACGTTATACCAAATTTCGTGCAAATCGAATGATATATAGGGACTTTGGTGCACCATTTACATGAAATCGGACGAAACTATATATGGGAGCTATATCTAAATCTGAACCGATTTTCACGAAACTTGGCAGGCATAATTCTAGACCTAAATGATTAGACTGTACCAATTAAATCGGTTAAATATATATATATATAAAAATCTGAACCGATTTTTCCCAATTTCAATAGGGTTCGTCCTTGGGCCGAATATGTGACCTATGCCAAATTTCATCCAATTCGGATCATAAATGCGACCTGTACTTTGTTTACAATTTAACATGCACAGACAGACAGACGGACAGACGGACGGACATGCATAAATCGACTTAGAAAGTGATTCTATGCATATTCTCAAAAGGAACCATGTGCCTATCGCGTTTCGTTTTGCCTGTTACAAACATATGCACAAAGACATAATACCCTGTACCACAGTGTGGTGAAGGGTATAAAAATCTTCGATTATGGTTCGGCCTAAGCAGACTGTTAAAAAGTTGAAGTACTCCGAGGGTAGTTTTTTTTTTATAAAAGAACAGCAACGTTTATTATTAAGGGTTGAAAACAGACTGTGAACATTTTTTCAATACAATAAAATATCTACACCTATTTCAATGACAATACATATTTATAAAAGTCATGGCTACTTAAATAAATTTCAACAAGTAGAAATTGTGACAATTTCGAATTTTCTTGACTGTACTTCTTAATTAAATTCTTTGTATAACCTGGTTACGAAATTTATATTGAGTTTTCACTTATGTCGACTTCTAAGCCAATACAATGTTTCGGCGGTCCTAAATCTCGAATGCGGAATTGTTTTTGAAATGATGCAATTAAACGGTCAACTTCTTTGGAATTATCTGAAGCTATAAGGATGTCATCAACATAGGTTTCCATTAAGAAAAGCTGATGACGCATCCAATTGGCTAAATTCCAAATTGTGTTCAACGGATAATGCATATATAAGTCGAATAGTACTTTGACGAACAACTGGTGCAAACGTATCCATATAATCAACTCCATATTCCTGAGAATATCCTTTTGCAATCAATCGAGCTTTTCTTTTTTCAATACTGCCATCCGTTTTACATTTAATTTTATATATACATCTGCAGTCTATTGGTTTTCTACCGTCAGGTAAATCAACAAGCTCCCATACATCGGTTTCACGGAGAGATTCAAACTCTTTCACCATTGCATCTTGCCATTCCTCTGAATTTAAAGAACTAATTGCTTGCTTAAAAGTTTTTGGATCTCTAAAATTATTATTTACCGCCCCATATTCTCTGTTCTTTCCTTTTGTCCATGATCTGAGGCTTTGTTTAATTGAGCTTACCTAGGGAATATTCGATTCTGGATTTTCAGGTTCACTTTCTGTTTCATCTTCAGCACTTTCATCTTCATTTATGATGGCATTATCTATATTTTCTGGAACTGGACTCGTTTTATCTCTTTCAATTTCTTCTTTTTCTTCATTTGATATTGGAATACTATTGGTCTCAAATTCATAAAATCTACAGTCATTTTGAAATTCTTCATCATCAAATTTATTTTCTAAGAATTTTACACTACTGTTCTTGTAAATATTGTTACTTCCTTTTATCCATGGCTACTTAAATGAATTTCTGCAAGTAGAAATTGTTTTGTTTTGTTGTTTTATTTAGAACATCATTTTGATGAAATCGGATTAATGGATGGAAGCTGTATCTTAATCTGAAACGTCTTCATTCCAAAACGGTTCGCCATTTACATAAAATCGGACGAATCTTTATATGGAAACTATATCTTAATCTGAACCCATTTCAAAAAAACTTCACGGTTGTCAACCTGCACCATTTCAATATGACTGTCAACGTGTAGTAACTTCAATACGTCGAATTGAAATTTCGGCTATTTTCAAAAGTCTGGCAAATGATCGTGCTTTATATTGAAGACTTGTATCTTTGCATTTTAGTATTTGAAAATTTAAGGAATAAGAAAATTGGTTGACATGATATTGTTGTTGGTCAAAATTTTGAAACGTCGTAATTGTCGGTATGTACAAAAAGGCATTATACCTTAATATGTTATATGTATATTTATAATAAAGTCATTCATATTTTATTTAAGAGGACCTCCTCCAATCTTGGTGTCTATCTATTATCTATTTAATTCAATCACTACACTAATTCAAGAATATCTCTTTAAATTTTCAAGTGGAAATATCCACCGAATATTGTGCCAGCATCACGACTTTTCAAAAATGTTTTTCATTTTTATGCGATGTTACCGTAGTAATCTGAACTACAAAACGACAACAAAATTATGTCAATTAATTTTCTTAACCTTTTAAGTCTTCATGTGCTTATATACATGCTTCTATATTATGCAAGTCCATTTGCCAGCCGGTTAAAAATCATAAAAAATAAAATGGCAAATTGTGGTGGGTTCTCTTAAATTCCAATGAATTTCACATCTAAATCACACATGTTCAAATACAATTAAAAATATGTCAGTGAAATGCAAAAGTAATTACCCCACATAGCGTTACAAATGTTACGCATAGGTAAAAAAGTACTTGATTTGTCACACACATACATGCGTAACTTATGGCTTTTTATGAAGAAACGCTAATCCCTTGGTTTTTGCATGCTCGGCCTTGTCTGTTACATTGAAACCGTTCACTGATAGACATCAGCTGGCGAATCGTAATAAAATTACTTGGTCATGTTACATTATGAGTTTTTAATACATTCTTTTTTGTTAGAATACAACATTTATAATAATATGCACATATGTGTGTATATATAGCACACTTGGATTAGTATGTTAAATAAACATTAGATGTTATATGACGATATAAAAATATTAACTCGTCTAGTGAATTGAAATGAATTAAATTGTATTTATACAATACACCACAAGGGTACTATGTATTGTGATTTTTTTGTATGTACGAATGAACGAATTGGAACAAAATTGTTCTTTAGGCCTTTTTAGTATAAATTGTTAGTATACAATTCGGAATGATGATGGACAGATAATTAACAAGCTGATGAAGAGACTGCAGGTAGAAAATGTTAATGTTTAGCCTTTTTATACCTCCCACCGTGAAGTTCCCAGAAGAAAACCCCTGTTATGGTAGGACCTTGAACATACCGAAAATACGTAAAAAAACCAGTAAGGAAAATAGTAAAGTCGGACTGGGCCGAATATATGATACCCTTCACCACTTTGGGAATATTCTACATATGTATCATGATCACAAAGGCAAAGACATCGCCTTTTCGAAGGAAAATTGTGATCTTTATCTACATCTAAACCGACTAACATCAATCCCGACAAATATAATTCTGCATATTTTGTAAATCGATTTAAAGATAACTTGTCACACTCTATTCGGTATGCTGCACTGTTTAAAATTTAATCTCAATCAAAAACCCATTGATTATTTGGTATACAATAAACATGAATAAGTCGAAATTATATATATATATATATATATATATCTGAATCGATTTCAAGGAAACTTGCTATGCAAAAATTCGTGCCAATCGAATGATTTTCA